TATTATACAATAAACAGCTACAACAAGACGGAAAAGAAACAAAGTGATTCACAATAAAGAAAAGGAAAATAATTTGATCCTATGCTGTGTAGAGACTTGCAGTGCACTTTCCTGAAATTATCATGTGAATTACAACAATGATTTCAGATCAGATGGTGAAAAGTATCCAGGTGCAGTACAGAAAAAAAAGCATCAATCCAGGGCTGTGTCTTAACTAGTTCCTCTCTCACTTGAATTTTGCACGCTGAACTCAGATATAGGAATTAAATGGATTTTGTTTCTGTAGCCCTGATGTGAAATGCATTTATTTGTTGGAGAACAAGCATTGTAAAAAGGGTGATACTGTTCTGAAAGCAAAAATAAGAAAGTGAGCATCAGTAACCGCACACACATAGTTGGTCACCATTCTTGCCTATAACTTGCCAGTAAGTAGGCTGTGGTCACCGGCTTGCTTGCCAGTGACAGGCATTTTATAAGATAACACACATGGAAATATCCAAATTAACCCAGAGGTTGAGGCCAGCCCCATGTGCCACTCTTTGTGTAGTTCTTTGGAGTTCCTTGGCCTCTTGAGGGCCTTGGATCTTGGCCTTGAGTTCTGGCCTTGCTGCACTGCAGACTGTGCTAGATGTTGCGAAGGCAGCAGGAGAGCATTTCAGAGTGATGTAAGGAAAGCCAAATAATAATCTCCTTCTCTGTTGCTGATGCCATGTCCTTTATCTCCCTTAGGGCATTACTTGGACTCCAGTGGAATTTTTTGATAACAGCATCATCTGTAACCTGATAGAAGACGTAAGTTGTGTTGAAAAGGAGGGTGGGTAAAGTGGAAGCAAGGCTGTGATTTTTGTCCGGATTCCTGCTCCTCCTGTGCATAGACCAAGCACATCTGGGGGAGGGTCCAAGGTGAAGGAGAAAGATGCAGTGGCAGGGCAGGGCTGCTTCCTCGCCAAAAGGGAAGGAAGAGGACCATGGAGTGATCAATGTTAGAGGGGCCTCTTTGTTCAAAATGCCATTTTTACCCAAGATTTCTCTACGTAGGAATGGAAGCAGTTTCCAGTTACATGTGACACTGCAAGATTTAAAAATGAACTTCAGTATGAGAACAATTTCAATACAAAATATATAAGAACTGCATATGAGAATGGGATGATAGGAGAGTTTAATTCCATGAACTTCCTAAGTTGTCTATGAATCCATCTCAGTTCTAGATGCTTTCCTTAGCCCCCTGTGACACATCCCAGCAGGGAGTTCTAGGGTGTGCCATGTACAGCCTTAGCATGCCAGGGACTCATCAGCCATGTTGATATGCTTGTGCTGGAACCAGAAGGTTTGTTTTGGCCATTTAAAAAAGGATCCATGACCAGGGCCCACATCTCAGAATGTAGGCCCTGGTCATGGATCCTTTTTTAAATGAAGGTTGACCCACTTTGGGAAAGAGAATTTTAAAAAAGCATTCATACTGCTCAGTCAGTCACTGAGCATAGAGAATGGGAATGTGTGATCTTCCAGATGTTGTTGCCATTCTTCACTGGATATGCGTCTTGGACTGTGTCTTTTTTGAAAAAAAAATCTTCCTTTGGAAAAAAAAGGCTACTGATAGAATGTTTATATTGGCATGTGCTCTGTTGCTTTGCCATTCATCGTATCTGTTTTAGTGTCTAGAGCAGCCATTCTCAACCTTTTTTTTGGCCATGGCCATAAACACACCATGAAAGAAATGTAGGCCAAATCAGGATTGTATAAGTGGCAGAATGAATCTTATAAGGTGGTGTGTAAAGAATTGTTTCCAGTCTGTGGCTCCCTTCACATATGCCAGGGGGTCATATGGCCCCCGTTGAGAATGGTTGCCCTGTAGTCTGAGGACCTCATTTAAAACCTGGAAAAAGTTTCTAAAAGTTTTATAGGAAAAATGAGGACTGCGAGTAAAAAATCCATCTTGAAAAGTTCTCCTTCCATGCCAGCAGCTGGGACAAACATTTGGGCCATCTTGGGATAGGCCCGGGCCTGAAAGCGATGTAGCTACCAACTGGATGATAAACTTGTCCTTCTTTAAACAGAATAAAGGTGGGATCCTGGCCGTGTTGGATGAGGAGTGCCTTCGCCCAGGAGAGGTGAACTCAGACACATTCCTGAACAAACTCGACCAAACGTTTAAGGCTCACCAGTGCTACGAGAGCAGATCTACCCAGAATGCCAAGATGATCACAGATAACAGCTTGTCTGGAAAATGCTTTCGTATTCACCATTATGCTGGCAAGGTAAACGGTGCAGCCTCTTTCTGCAGGACATGGGAAGGAGGGAGAGAGGGAGGGCTAGTCTTTCGGAAGGGCAATGGGGTAGAGGAGCGCTGTATCCTAGAGAAGGGCATGCCTGAGACCAAAGGCCTAGGAGGAGTTCTTTTGGGAAGCCCAGGTGGAAGGAAGAGGAGTGGGATCAGGGGAACTGCCACTGGCGTAAAGCATGGAAAATAACATGGCTGCACTGCCTGAAGGATTGTGGGAGTTGTGGTCGGAGAAACCTTTCTAGACTCTGACTAAAGCACAGGAAGAAGCATCCCAGCTCAGTGGGACGTGTTGCCTAGAGAGTCCTTAGATCTCGAGCCTGAGATGTCCTGAAATATTGTCTGAGAAAGAACATTGTAATGGTATCCTCTTATAACTAGCATTTTTTAGAACAAGAATATTATAATATAATCAAGTGGATAGTCTGCTGTTCATAGATGGTGCTCTGAGATGTGAATGCTTCAGCTTGTCTGCAGATAGGGATGGACCTCGCCCTGAGTTGAGTCCTGTGGCTGAAAGAGGCCAGGATCTTATTTGGATCAAACTGCTCGGCCGTGGTGTAGTGCAGCCGGAGCTTGCAGGGTCACAGCACTGGGCCTTTCTGAGCTTGTGGGGGGGGAGTACAACATCATCTGCCACCTCTCTTGGGCATCCCTATTGTCTCTGCGTTAGCTCCAGTCTTCACAGGAGATGAGACAGAAATGAATTTTCTTAGGAACAATATACAGTTGCAGTCTATCCTTGCTCTAATGCAAAGCATTGGAGGGCACTGTGGTCTTCAATGAATAATTAAGAGCCATTAACTTTGCAAAAAATGTGCCCTTCATTTGCTGATATGGACTATCCCGGATGTCTGCAGAGCTTTCCACTTCCACGAGGGTACAACTAAGGTTCTGTATTACTGCACCCATGGGTGTTTATATTCTGCAAGCACCAATTAGGATTCTAGCCAGGGATTTTAACTATGACCTCTGAGGTGGCAAATCTGGGCTTGATCTGTATCAGTTTGTGAGGCAGGTATGGGCTCAAACAAGTGGATGTTCCTCCATACCAGTGGTTCCCAACCTTGGGTCCACATATGTTCTTGGACTACAATTCCTGGCCAGCACAGCTAGTAGTGAAGGCTTCTGGGAGTTGCAGTCCAAGAACATCTGGGTGACCCACTGCTCCATACCAATATAAACAAACACATCTTTCTGGCTAAAAGCTAGTAGCAAGTTGCAACAATAGCTGGCCCATTGAATTGATGGAATTTACAAAGGAGTTGACTCACCAAATCCCCAGTGATTCAATAGGCCTACTGTAACTGCAACTTACTATGGGATTTCACCCTCTGTATTAGCAGAAAAGCAAAGTTACAGGCTAGCTTCTCCCTAACATGCTTGTTCTCAATATGGAGGGAAACATATTTTCATGGGGACCTGTTCAGTGATGTGGATTTCTACTTGTGTCTGAAATGGTACAGCCCTGATATAGGATAATCACCTCAGTGAGAACTAGGCCAGATTGGCAAAACGTACCACAAATGTTTCCATAGCTGGTGTAAAAGGAGGGTTTGGCAGTTCTAAGAGCAGTTGGGACCCCCTAAAAGGGTTTTAGTTAAGAAAAGTTTTGGAAGTCATGTCAGAGCAATGGAAGAGTTGGACCATGAGCGAGAGTGCTTGGTTGCCATCTTTATGTCTCTATAGGGCTCTGAAACCGCCACCTCTGTATGCCACACAAGCACATCAGTGGATGAAGTGTTGTGCCAATCAAAATGAAACAAGTTCAAGGGCTACTTATTAGATGATTTGCCTCTATTTCAGGTGTCTTACAATGTGGAGGGCTTCATAGAGAAGAACAATGATCTGTTGTACCGAGACTTGTCGCAAGCCATGTGGAAGGCCAAGCACTCCCTCCTACACAGCCTCTTCCCTGAAGGGGATCCCAAGAAGGCCTCCCTGAAGCGCCCACCCACTGCGGGTTTCCAGTTCAAAGCCTCTGTGGTCACCCTCATGAAAAACCTCTATTCCAAGAACCCCAATTATATCAGGTAATTTGTGAGCATGCACATCGATAGAAGAAATACAGTGGTGCCTCGCTTAGCGATTGCTTCGTTTAACGAAGAATTCACTTAACGATGTGTTTCTTGGAAGAATTTTCCGCATCGTTTAACAATGTTCTCTATGGGGGATTTTCACTTAACGATGTCCATTTTCGCTCATTTTTAAGTGTCTTAAAATGCTTGAAACCTGTTTTAAATGCTTGGAATCGGTAGTCCACTTTGTGAAACATGTGCGAACTTAATTTGGCTTTGTTCTGAGTCTTCGTTAATTTTTGGTGATTTTTTGTTTTCCCCATTTAAATCCATTGAACTGTCCACTCAAGCATTTAAAACAGGTTTCAAACATTTTAAGACACTTAAAAATGAGCGAAAACAGACATCGGAAAGCCATTCAAAAGCATTGAAGCCGGCTTCAATGCATTTCAATGGCTTTCCGTTGGGGGAAACATTGTTTCACTTAGCGAAGTTTCCTATGGGGACGGTAATCCGTTCCCATTGGAACAGATTAACTGGTTTTCAATGCATTCCTATGGGAAATGGTGTTTCGCTTAACGATGTTTTCCCATAGCAATGTTTTTTGGAACCAATTAATATCGTTAAGCGAGGCACCACTGTATGTGGATAGACCTGGATTACGTTTGCAGTGTTTTACGGTTCGTAAACACAGCTACAATAGTGAGGAGCAAGCCAAAGGCAACTTTATTCTTCAGAGCCTCCAGAAACTTCCTGTGTAAGCAGTTGTCATGGTAATACCTAAACAGCAAACTCTTTAATGTTTTAGGGGAGCGCCACCAAATTACTATCATTATTATATTTAGAGTCAGCCAACTACTGACAGGAATGGGGGATACCAACCGTCTCACTCAATACGGCTGTCCTATCTTGCATTCCCGTTGCTGCCAGGTGCATCAAGCCCAATGACACCAAAGAGCCAGCTGTGTTCACAGATGCAATAGTTCGTGCACAGGTCCGCTACCTTGGCCTACTGGAGAATGTGCGAGTACGTCGGGCTGGATATGCGTATCGGCAACCGTATGAACCATACCTAAAGCGCTACAAGATGCTCTGCAAGGAGACCTGGCCGCAGTGGAAAGGAAGTGCCAGGTAAGACAGAAGAGATGGGGTGTGCTAGAGGCGAGGCAGTTGGAAGCTTACTGATGGGGTTCAAGATTCAACAGAATGCTCAGTGGGTTGCAACATCCAGGGGGTTAACAATGCTGAGCTTGCTAGCTGGACTGAGACATGGCACAGCTTGGACCTTGGTGTTGCTGGCAGTTGTAGTTAAAAAATTAAACAAACAGGGGAGAACCTCTGGCTTTTGGGTCTAATCTGGCTCATAGAGATTCCTTATCTGGTCTGTTGAGGCTCCCCACAGATTGTCTCCTCTCTTGATCATTGAGGCGAGAGTGGAAAGAAAGCTTGCGACAGGTACCTGTCTAGGGCTACAGGATATCCTAAAAGGGCACAATGGAAGGACAAAGGTCTGTGACAATGAAGTGACTCAAAGAGACTTTATTTATTTATTTATTTATTTATTTATTTATTTATTTATTTATTCATTCATTCATTCATTCATTCATTCATTCATTCATTCATTCATTCAGTTTATAT